CAGCATCTATCCCATCCTCCCCAACCTGGAGGAGCTGCTTTTTTTTCTCCTCTTCTTCAGGCTAAGCACTACTTTTTCAATCCAGATGAGTTATTTCACTCTTTTGATTGTAAAACTGCATAAATGGATAAACACTTGCTTTAGTCTGTTTCAGGGTCAGATGCAGTCCACAGCAGAGAGGGATTGCCAGGGTGGTATGTCAGTATACAAACTTTTGATACAAACTCTATTGGCAGGTCCACATTTTTACCCCGGGAGCTGTAAATTGAGAGGAGTTGGGTCAATCTGGCTCATTGGTCAGGTGCAAAGGGTTGCAGTGAATGGCTGACATCTGACTGGTGACCCGTCACTAGCGGGGTTCCACAGGAATCCATCCATCCTTGCCCCTCTGCTCTCCAACACCTCCATATAGGAGGGCTCTGGAGATGGTGAAGGGCCTTGAGGGGAGGCTGTGTGAGGAGTGACTGGGGTCAATTGGCTCGCTCAGCCTGGAGAAGAGGAGACTGAGGGGACACCTCATTAGGGCCTACAGGCCCAGGCACTGATCTCCCTGTGATCAGTGGCAGAACAGGAGAGAACAGCATGAAGCTGTGTCAGGGGAGCTTTGGATTGTATATTAGAAAAAGGATTTTCACCCAGAGGATGGTCAGGCACTGGAACAGCTCCCCAGGGAAGTGGGCACGACACCAAGCCTGACAGAGCTTGAAAAGTGCTTGGACAGTGCTCTCAGGCACATCGTGGGGTTGGTCCTGTGCAGGACGAGGAGCTGGACATAGATAACCTCTGTAGGTACTTTCCAACTCAGGATGTTCTTTGATTCTATGAGTGCTCCCATTTCCACTCGAGGGTTGTGAAAGAAGGGCACCGAGCCCCTCAGAGGAGTGCAGGATCGATCTCCCAATAGGGAAGTAAATATTAATGATTTTTATTGCTATTTATATTTTATCACAAGGCTGTCCCTAAGCAGGAATTTTTACTAATAGCCATTACTGTTGCAAACTTTGGAGAGAATCTTTTTATTTTGCAGCAGCTCCAAGAGAATACATCACCGAAAGAAAATGCATTTTATTCCTTAATCAGTGTTGCATAGAAATGCTTCACTTCTTTCCTCTATTGACCAGAAGCCCGCCAAAAAAACAAGTTCAGGGAGCAGATGTCAGCTAATCCCAAAGTCTTTGCTAAGAACACGATGGCAACTCAAGGCGAGTTCAACAGAATCTAAATGTCTTGCTGGTTTGGTACAAGATTATGCTTCGAGCAGATAAGCCCCTGCATTTTAACTTGGGAGCTCAAAAGGGATAAATAGCATTTCTGGAGCCAGCCAGCCAACAAATGGAATTTCTTAGCACAATGTAATCTTGCTGGGGGGGTTTTCTCGGGCATGTGTTTCCCGTCGGGTGTTGTTACACTGCTGTGTGTACAGGGCTTATCTCCAAGCAAAGGTGGTAATGCTCAGCCATTGATACCCCAGGACTTACTGAAGCTCTAAGATGGATGAGGAAGGATTAGTTGAGGCATTTGATTCATAGCTGATACTTTCTAAATAAGTTCAAGGATGTGACATCACTATTTGTCATAAGTGTTCTTGTTGTGGTGGGGTGTGTTCGTGGCAGGAGGGGAGAGGAGCTGTCATCATGTAGATAAGCCAGAGAACTCTAAATCATTAGCAACGAATAATTCACTGCACAGAAGAAAATAACAGACAATGTCAGGCAATGGAATAGTGCTAGTTCACTTACATCTCTTTCTGTGCCTCTGATGAAAGGTTTTTAACCTTGATTATACCCTGTCTTAACCAGGAGATTTGCTTTCTGTAGGGATGCTCAGCTCCAGGCAAGATAGAAGGATGTTCCCAAATCCAGTAACTGGGTCAAATCTAATTATCATAGATAATTTGCACATTTCATTTATGGTAAAGGGAAATGTGTCTCAAGGTAGGTGAATCCAGTTTGGTTTGACAAAGGCAGACTAAAATAGCTTCTAAACAGAAAGAAAAAGATCTTTCTGCTAGACCCAATTACTGAAATGAGAAGACAATTTTAAAACCTTCATTCCAAACCAATTTCAGCAAAAAAATTAATCAAAGCTGTGGCAGACAGTAAATCCCCCTGAATTTCTCCAAAGCCTGGAGTTCCCCTCTTGTCTGAAATGCTGAAAAGTCAACAAGCATCACAGCTGAAGATGAAACGGGAATTTCCTAATTTTTTGTGCAGGATAATAATATGAGATTTTTTCCTTGCAAATGTAGCCATCTATCCCACTTGGGTGCAGCCTTCAGTTAGGACAAGATTAAAACACTGACAAGAAGTAATTTTTACATGTAATCTAGTTTATTACAAGTAATCAAAGCATTTCAATGTTCTATTTTGAAATAAAAGTAAAAATAGTAGCACTGAAACTGAGCTTCCTGCATTTTTGAGGGGTAAAATAAATTAGTTGTCATCTCTAAACAGATTTGATGAAGTAATATAGCCCTAGAGAACATTATTGTTCTCTTCAATAGAACAGCATTTCTGTTTGGAAAAGGGTTGTGCTGTATTTTACGAGTTCTTTATACCACCCAAAGCTGGAGGTGAGATGACTTTTCATCAATGCCCCCTTTGCACTCTCTCTACATTGCCTTAAATACAGCCCAGCCAGATGTGAAAATACTTTAGAAACTTTCAATGAATGAAATCGATTAAAGTAGGAAGTTTATTTCTGTACAGAATTGGTTTCTTTAAGTGACTTTTCTAGAGTACATGTTTGTTCCCTCTCTATCTCCTTTTTCTCTCTGTTTAGCTAAATAATAAATTTTAAATCCCTCATAAAAATGTACACAGCTGTAATGACTGGGAATTTTATAACATTTTTAGCACTCAATATGATCAAGCAGCTTTAGAGAAAATATCCTGTGCTCTTGAATAAGCAAAATGCAACACATATTCATAAATACCCCTAAATTTACTATGCTGTGCATTCTGTATTTCTGAAAAATGACATGGATCTGGAATATTAGAAGTGGAAATGGTTTATGCACAAAGTGTCTATGTGTATGTGTTTGGGCCCAGGTGCTTGGTGAGATCTGGCTCAATCAATGTCTGTATATTTTCCTCTACTTCATTTTTTCACTGTAAGGTGTTTGTTCCCCTGCATACAGCTGTGATGGAAGTGTTCAAAAGTCAAGTACTGTAATTCATAATAGAGGCTTTTTGAAAAGAAAGGAAAAAGTGGGGGGGGAAGGGAAAGGAAAGCGAGGCAAGGCAAGACAGTGGAGATAAAAATTACATATCATTTCATAAGGAAATATGGAGCTGCTGAAAAATCAAATAAATTGAGGGGAAAGTTTTTGGTTTTGTTTTGTTAATGTAACAAAGAAGCCTAAATCTGGAATCCTAGTATTCCTTTACTTTTACCTAAAATTCCAAGGATGTTCAGATGCTCTACTTCAGCTTTATTCCAATTTTAATACCTCAGGGTAATTTGTGTCTCCTGACTTCTTTCTTTCTTTCTTTCTTGCTGCAAAAACAAGTGGAAAGGCAGCTGGGCATGCTGTCATGCCAGGAGTCTCAGAAGGTACCAGCTCTTTCATTAATTACTTCTTTGCTCTCCCTCTGCTTTATGTTAAAAACAGCCTAGTTGAGGATGTAGAAGTTGTGTCGGCCGCAGCGAAAGCGCACTTGTGGGACCCTTTAAACTGTCAGGTTACATCACATAAACTGAAGGGATCATAGTCAAACAATTGTAAAACTATTTTCTTGCCCGAAAGAGCACACCATGATGCCATTTAGCTGGAACCTGAAGCTATGGGGATCCTGCTGTGGTATCATGTGCAGCGAGTGCATGTGATTGTTCTCCTGAGGCATTTGTTACATGCATCTTGTTAACCCTAGTTCAGTCAAAAGAACTGCCTTCACTGCTGCTTGACCTATTTTAGCATAATTTAGCCCTGAATGTGGTGGGTTTCAGTTGCAGTAAGTTATTCTGCTGGCATTAATACCATGGGAACTTAAAATGGAACCATAAGGGTTTGAAAATATCAATCTTATTCACTCAACAGTTTGGTTTCAGTAATTTATGCATCTTTCAGAACTGACCTAATACTTAAATGTACATAAAAGAGCAAGCACTAATCAATCCCAGACTTCTCCTAACAAGCCAGGCTTTTCCCAGGTTTCAGAAAATGGAGCATATTTAAGAGTTTTCTAAGCCTTGTTAATAGCTGCATCTACAGGACTTGTAAAAGTGCTAGAAGTGCAAGGAGGATTTACTGCCATTTCTGCAACAGCCAGAGTAGAGTTAGATTCATTTAAGAGTTGAGTGCTAAGGGCAAGATCCAAATCACTTCCTTACTGTCTGTGTTGAGACTGAGGCATAATTCAGGCATTTGTTCAGAAAGCACCCAAATCCCAGCAGAGATTCCTGGCTGCCCTGGGACCCCTCCGGGCAGCAGCCGTGTTCTGGCTCCCCCTGGTACCCGAGGCGTCCAGCGGGCACCCGAGCCCACAGCACATACACGAAGTTCAGCCTGAAGAGCTGTAGCAGTGAGGGACACACCTGCAGAAACATCCAGAGAAAGTCCCCAGTAAAAAAATCTCCGGGAAAAAAGTTTGAATCCACCAAGTCCAGTACATGGGCTTACCACTAGGCTAAAGAGAAGCAGAGCAAACACAGTAGGGAAATGCTGTGCTGGATGACTCTTTTGTAAGGGCTGCTGTATTAAAAAGGGGCAGAAAGAAGATCCCAGACACACTTCAAGAACATTTCTGATTTTTCCTGATAACTCTTGCATGAAAAAAGTGTGAAGGCTGCAAAGATCGAGAACCTCCCAGCTGAGAGCCATAATCAATTAACTGCACCTCCCCAGCTCCTAGAAGATGATGAGCAGCTGTGCCTGCAATGTCCAGTCCCTGGTTACCTGTTTCACCCCACCAGCTCCAATGACTGGAAAAGGCATAAAGTTCTGATTTTCACACAAGCAAACTCACCACAGTCCTGCTCAGAGGCACAGCACAGCACCAGGACTTGTCAGTGCCTTTCAGGTATGTAAGGGACTGCATAGTCCAGGTTCTGCAGGGTGAAGGGTTGTTAAGAATCAGGCCCCTGTGCTCTAGAGGAGGGGTCTCTAGATCGTCATTAGTGTCTCAGCAACTCTGTCTTTAACAAAGGTTTCTGGAGAGCCTTTATGCCTCAGTTACCCTTCCCACCCCCAGAGTCGAGTGCCTCACTGCCAGACTGGTAACAGTACCTCTCCTGGGGCCAGCAACTATTGCTGAGACATCACAAAATCTCAGCCTGACAGCTGAAGTACAGCTCTGCAGCACACACTAAAATCTGGTTGAGGAATGTGCTTTTTAACTAATAAAACTGCTATGTGCTTAAGGTTAGACACATACTTATAGATGCTGCTGAAATGGGGTCAAAGAATACAGCTCTCACTCCTTGCTTCAGGAATGGTTGTACAGTAAGTTATTGTGACCTAAATATTGTGGCCTCTGCTGACACTTCATGTGATAAAGCAAAATCCATTTTAGAAATTTTAAGGGTGACATATTCAGTGGTGGGGAGAGCTTGGAGACAGAGTTAGCCAGTAGTGGGACTATTCCTTCCTTCCCCTGGGCTTAAATTAGCATGACATTATTTAAGGTTTGGGCTTGGAGCCTTTTAGCAGGGGGTGTAAATTCAGGATTTTCACCTGCAGTCTCCTGTGTGAGCTCTGTGACTGACAGGAATGCCTACAACACGTTTTCAGGCGCAGCAGAGGGCTCGTGGTCCCAAATGCACATCCTCAGAAGTGAAGGTCCATCCCAGCCCAGGTTCAGAGGAGGGAGAAGGAAGCAGAGCAGTGCCCAGCAAACCACCCAGCAGAAGGGATCTGCAGAACTTTACATGAAGTCGAACTTCACTTCCCTTGTCAGCCTGCTCGGAGTGACTCACTGGAGGTGCTGAACAGACTAACGAGTGGGAGGAGGAAACAGGGCGGGGGGAGAGGAAGAGAGGGAGACAGGCAGTAAGATGAAACTAGGAACATTGATACATGACCAAAAAAAAAGAAGAGAGGCTGTTTTTTAGAAAGTTGCACTACTCCTTCGACTAGTCCTTTTCCAACTCTAATGTGAGTGGCATAGAATCGAACATCTCCAAGACTGGAGGAAGAAAAAAGAAGTATGAATAGCTAAAGTGAGATGATATCACTTTTAGCCTGATACTTATGATGAAACTCCAGGGGTTTGATTTATTCAGCTGTCACTTACTGTTCATCCCAAGCATAACAGAGGACATGTTGGAATTGAAACCTTTATTTAGGGTTTGTTAGCATGATTCAATTTTTTTACTGGCCTTCTGGGAGTTATCTTTCATCTTTAGGCAGTTATCATTGCTAAGAGGAAAAGAGGTTTTTTGTTTGTTTTTTTTTTTTTTGCTAGCTCTGAGTGCAAGGTTTTTATTAAGTAAATGGGAAATTGAGTTTGCTGGGGTATGTATGTGCTGGGATGTCCCCTGACTTGTGATGGGAGATGCTGCAGTGCTGATTTTTTTTTTTTTTTAGAGGGTCAGAGTTAGAGGGCAGAAGTGACTCTTTTGGGCATCTCTCCTTTGAAGATACTGCAGAAGAGCAAGTATGCTTAACACCAAACCAGATTTTTTACTGTTATTGAAGACAGGGTATTTTGCTTAAAGAATTGTGATGGCACAGGGACACACAGTGTCTCTAAAGACCAAAAGTAATGTTTGTTACTTTTCCTGGAGGGAGAGGCTCCCTGTATCCTAACCTGCCTGTGTTCCCTCATCCCTTCCCCACCCCATCCCACTTTCAGTCTCACCTGCAATTCCTGATGGCTATTTCTCATCAGAGCCTCTGAGTTTGCCAAACTCTGCATTGCTGGTGTGATGTACGCAAAGACTTATTTCAGATAATTGTCTTTGTTCAAGGAGTAATTTGCGATTTATACCCTGATGTCCATAAATAAATGGCCACAAAGTCTGTGGTGTGTCCAGTGGGCCCGGGGGGATTGCTGTCTGCAGTGAGCTCCTGCAGGGCACTCAGCGAGTGCCTTTTCCATCCACACAAGGGCTGACGTGGAGGTACATCAAAGAAAACAATGAACGCCTCCTGCTCTGACCTACATATTTCATTCTGAGAGACTCAACTACATTTGCTGGAACACTTGGAACAACTGTTATCTTTTAGAAATGAAAAGTCATTTCTCCAGGGAGTAGCATGGTGTGGGGCGGGGGGGACACTGTAGGGCTTGCTAGGGTGCAGAACATTTAAACTCTGCTGTATTGATTGTAGTTTATGATTGAATGTAATCATTACTGTGTCTATATTTTTCTGTTTCAATGAAACCATCAGGCAGTGAGTCATGCTGTGCATGTAACCCGGAGGAAAGTGCAAAGAGGCTGCTGAGGAGTAGCAGTACAAAAATACCATTGGCATCTTTTCCCTAGGAGAGCAGGGCTCTGGACAGTTTCCACAGTCTATTGCTGTTTTTCTTTTACATGCATTTGCTGCTAAAATGTGTAATAGAATTGAGGACACGGTTGTGAGTAAAGAGTCTTCTCGCACATGCTGTTCCATAATTAAAGAACAGCTATAATAGAAATCCTGCTTTGCTTCTTTTCCTTTTTTTTTTTTTTTTTTTGCATTAATGAGCTCAAATTCTTATAGGCATTAAAAGGGCATATGCTTTTCTTCTAATTTAGAGATTAAAAAATCTCACAGCAGATCAAGAGGAAGGCTGCAGTTTGGACTCTTTAGTGAAAGAAGATGCACTGTCATTAGCAACAAAACAATTTTAATTAGCCTGGTCCTGGATTTGTGGCAACACATGCCAAAATGATGAAAATTTGGAAGAATGGGAGATACAATCCTCTTGGTTTAGTACAGAGGGTTCAACTCCATAAAAAATGAGCGCCCTTAAAAATATTTTAATTGCAGTTTTTAGTTACCTGGATTTTAGATAACATTTTTTGTTGTTGGGTTTGATTTGGTTTTTTCCACTGAAGATACTAAAATCCAATTTGGGAATTCTCTCCTCTTCCCTAGAATTTGGCTTTTTTCAGTGCCATTTGTGGATGGAGCATATTTTTATTAAGCTAAAGAGAAGAAAGTCATCCTTATTAGCAATGCCTCATTGCATTAGGAATCAGGGTCTGTGGCTATCAACCTGTGGAGACACAGTGGGAAGACATGATTGCAGTTTGATTCAGCTGTGCCAGGCACTGAGTAAAGATTATGCACTCAGACAGGAGCCCTGTCTCAGAGCACAAGTGAAGAAGGCTGTCCTAACTGCACAGAGCATGGTGGTGCCAGTGTGTGAGCAATGGCAGCAGAGCCTTTCTCTCCTGGCTTGAAATGTCAGCTCTGTTGAGTTAAAAAACAGAGGATTTTTAAGGGAGTTTCCCAAAAACCTCATCTCTGGGACATGATTCGTGCCAAAACCACCCCAGCAACTGCATGCTGCAGCACAGTGGCTTGTCCTCTGCCCCAGCAGAGCCTGGAAGGATTTTAAAGAGAAATGCTAATTGCAACACAGGGTAATGCATGCTGGAGCTGGCTAACATATAAGTCCCAATTTCTCATCCCCCTGCCTGCCAGCTTATATCTGATGTGGTTAATGGAAAGCAGATGCAGAGCTACTTCAGTGCTGCCCGGCCGTGCTGTTCCTGGGCCTCCCACCCCACAGCTTCCCAGTTCAGAGGATGTGTTAGAATCATAGAATCACAGAACTGTGTGGGTTGGAAGGAAACTTGCAGATTATTTAGTGACAACCCCCCTGCCATGGGCAGGGGCACCTACCACTAGACCATGTTGCTCAAAGCCCCATCCAACCTGGCCTTGAACAATTTCGGGGATGAGGTATCCACAGCTTCTCTGAGCAACCTGTGCCAGTGTCTTACCGTCCTCACTGTAAAAAATGTCTTCCTACTATGCAGTCCAAACCTTCTTTCAGTTTAATGCCATTCTCCTTTGTCCTGTCACTACGTACCCTTGTACAATGTACTTCTCCAGCTCTCTTGAGGGCCCCTTTAAGGTGCTGGCAAATGTATAAGGTCTCCCTGCACCCTTCTCTTCACCAGGCTAAATAGCTCCAAATCTCTCAGCCTTTTCTTTGTAGGAGAGGTGCTCCAGCCCTCTGATCATCTTTGTGGCCATCCTCTGGACTCTCTCCAAGAGATACACCTCCTTCTTCTGCTGGGCACCCCAGAGCTAGGAAGCAGAGGATGAGATTTGTGCACGTTTGTGGCCATGGTGCCAAACCCTCCCATGTCCCTCCTGCACCGCCCAGCTAAAGAACACTCTCTCTCCATGGCAGGAGATGGAGGCATTGCTGCAGAGCACATGCCTGCTGAGGTGTGCACCATGCCTGTTGTGCACCCCTGCCTGGTGGCCCTGGCCGCTGCCAGCCCTCCTGGGTGTCCAGCCCATCCCACTGCCCCTGCTGGCCCCCAGCACAGTCCTGCAAGGGGTTGCACCACAGGGAATGCAGGAGAGGCAGGAGTCTCACCAAGGCATCCCAGGCTTCAACTTCTTAGCCAAGTCAGGGTTTAATTTCTTCTTTTTCTAAGAAAAGAGAAAAGAATCTCTAGTCCTAGGGGCATCTTCAGGAGGAGCAGACGCCCAGGAGCCCCTGCAGGTTGACAAAGCCTCTTGAAATATTTAATTTTTCTTGAGGTGTGATATGTTTTCTGTCTCCTGGGAGACTATTAATTTGTGCCTCTTTTTTTTTTTTCCAGAGGAACACTTTACTCTTATGGCTTTTAAGTCCATTTTTGGTATTCTGTCACATATTGGTGTGTTCTCTGAGGGGGTCTTGTCAACGGAGACAAAATAGACTCTGCAAGTCTAGCAGGAGTAGCACTGCTGGTGTTTCACATTATGTACTTTGGTGAGGGTCTTCTCCATGTTACTGAGAAGAATACACTCAGAAAACCTCAGCAGAGATTGGGTTTTCACCCTTTTTATTCCAGCAGGGCAGTGAAGGTGGCATTTTGGCATAATGTGTGGTTGAATGAGATTACATGACTTGGAAACAGAGGTAAACATGAGGAATTTATTTAGAAAATCACTAGATGACAAGGAGGCCCTTCAAAACAAGGGTCTTTCTCTTAAAGTCTGTGAAAAAAACCATAACCAGTCACTGACAGCTGAGCAGAAGACTTTGACCCAGTGGTTTTGCAGAGAAAGGGGCTGGCTTTTCGATAGCAACATCTTGCTAGGTTGTTGAATCCTATGTTGCATGGAAACAGCATGAAACAGAAACACAGAAATCAGACAAGTTGCTGAAAAATGAATGGAGAAATGTTTCTTGTTTCTTTATGCTGGGGAAAAGTACATTTTACATCTGTCACATGTGCCACTAACCCCAGGGGTGGCCCAGGCAACCTCCCAGTGCCACCAGCTTCTTCCCTGTCCAGGCTGGCAGTCAGAAAGCTTGTTCTTCTGCCAGTGCACAGAGCACATTTGAGCGACTTGTCATTGTGATGGCAGAAACCTCAGAATGTCAGCATAAAAGTAATTTCTTTCTCTGTGGAACTGTATTTAAAAGAGATTTTTGAAACTTACTGGAAAAATACTTCCACCTTGAAGAAGCAAATGAATGGTAGTAGTCTGCATACTTACACAGACAGCTGTTACCTATTTTATTAGTCAGTGCTTGGATCCCAGAATCATATTCTGAAATTCATCAACATTGGCAACACCCTACAGCGTCTTCCCAAGAAATGAATACTTCTGACCATAGGCATTTTGAAGCAACTTTGATATTGGCATTCAGTTGCTGTTCAGAATTATTTATTTGTGAGGAGATTTCACAAAACTCCTTCCTTTGTTAAATGGCAATGTAACATATCAAAACACAGGCATTTGGATCTAATTAACAATAGCAAGATTTTTCTTCATGAAGAAAACAGAGAACCACTTTGGCCCACGCTGTTGTTCCTGATGATGGGTTAGTTGTTAGGAAATAATTTCTAGCATCTTCTTCTCTTTGCATTTTTATTTTGTGTACCATCTTCTGGCAAAGGCAGCATATGGAGTAGTCTTTAAGCCTTTTCAAAATACAGGCAAATGCTCCTTTTTTTCCTGAAGTTGCATACTAAGTTTTAACAAGGAGCTATTTCGTTTTCCACTCATTTGTCTTAGAGAAATAAACATTACATAATCAGAAGTAATTCATAATCTCCAGACAACAATGTTATACTTAATATATAAGGGAAAATATTTTCCATCTATGCTACTGCCACACAGCTCTCCCAAAGGGCACTTGGTGGGTAACTCTGATATTACAGTAAAGCCTAACTTTCAGCTTAGATTTCAGGAAATCTGAGATGATCAGGAAAATATTCTGGAAAGTATAGTCACATACCCCAGAATATTAATTTTTCTACTGGAATAGCAAAATGCATCTGAAGTTGGGATTTTCCAGCTATGCATCATTCACATGTGCCTGGATTTGTGGGCATACATGTATGTAGGCTTTTGGTTCCCCTTTAATGCTGAATTTCCTGACAGATGGACAATGACTACTCCTATCTCCAGGTGCTTTGATACATGAGCTACAGATATATTTCAGTACATTAGGAGAGGCTAATTTTCAAACACCTCACACAAACTGTGAATTTTTGCAAGCCTACTCATCATCCTCAGCTGTGAGAAGGGTGGTTGAGAACTGAACTAGCTGCATGGACAAATCACAGTGAGGCTGGGAGCATGTCCTTCTAGAAACACTTTCCTGGTTCCAAACAAGGCAGCTGGCTCTGGCCCTGCTGCGCACCAGCACGTTGGAGGCATGTCAGGGATCTGCTGAACTCCCTTTTCCCACTTTTGGAAGTTCTCTGTGAAGAAAGGAGTCAATGGCCTCCATTGTATCTCTTCTCTGTGAATGAAGCCCAGTGGCAAGTGTTGCTGTCCTTCAGCTGGGCACTACCTCCTTACCTGCCCTGGTATTATACCATCTCTCTGAGCTGATGCCTTTTTTGCCCTTGTATCAG